AACAAAACTGCACCAGCTGCTGCGGCGCACGTGCTACGACACCGCTTTTACCAAGATGCAGGACTGCATCAACGAGCCCTCATCAGACATCCGGCGCTTCCTCGTCCTGGGGACACCAGGTGTGTTGTCAGGAGGACTGCTGGCACTCACATCTGCCGCTGGCACTCACATCTGCCCCCGTGCATGGTGTTGCGACCCCCGCATTATGGCCCTGCTGCACTTCATGCTATACTCCTCGACATACCGCCAGGCATCGGCAAGAGCGTGTTCCTGCTGGACTTGCTCCACCGCCTGGCCTGCATGCGGCGCACCGTGGTGCTCCTTTCTTACCTTACCTACCCCAGCGCGCTGCTGTTTCAGCCCGCGGCCGCTGACGGTGACGGTGGCGGCGTGTTTGAGGCGGACAACCCCATCGAGTTTGAGGAGGAAATCAACGACCCCAATACGTGGTGAGAATTCCTAGCTTGGTTGCATTCGGGACGTGCTGGTGTTCCACGTTGCCACGCCTACCCGATGCACAAAACAGGACAAAACCACCCTTTCCTATGCTCCATCTACAGGCTGCTGTGCGACTCCATTGAATTCGCGAAGGCAGACGCCATAACAGTTATGGCCTCCTCGCCGCACGCTGGTGCCTACAACGTAAGGCTGTTGATGACGCTCAATTGACAACAAATGATTCGTCTGTTGTCAAAGTTTGAGGTGCTCACTCGCTGGCGGAATCCACGCCTAGCAGAGATTTGCCAAGACCAAACACCTGGAGCTGTGGATGGGTCCATGGAGCCTGGAGGAGATTCGCGCCGCATGCCGCCTCGAGCCGTACCAGGCACAAGTTGACGTCGAGATGGCGGAGCGGCTCTACAAGGCGTGGGGCGGAATTCCGCGCTACGTACTGGAGAATGCCAAGGTAGGAAGGCTTGTGGACGTGTGCACGGCATATAATGTATCGAACGATGCCTGATCTGCTATCTGACACTGTGCAGAAAGAGTCGGTTGGACAAGAGTATGTTTGCCGCCAACTAATGTTTGCTGCTCCCATCTTGCTGGTCTGCATCCTCCAGAACCCGTCAATGCAGCGGAAGCTGGACGATGCCCTGGGGTCCAGTGACCTACTTGCTGTGCTGCGCTCGGCGACGCAGATCCAGACCGCCCCTGAGGCGAGCCACAAACTACTGCATGTTCAGGTGATGCCGTGCTGGTTACCTGCCCTGCAGTCGTCCTTGTTTGAACCCCATAACATGCTCACGCCCGCCACCTGATGTGCAGGTGGACAATGCATGTGAGAAGACCGAGGTGGTGTTTGGCTCGGATGAGATCATCAACCGTGTGACCGAGAAGCTTCAGGCAAGATTCATGCATGCATGCTAGTATTGATAATCAGCTGCGCATAGCATGGAGCCCTTGGTAATCTTGTTATCATGCTCGTAGGCGAACGGCATGGTGGGTCTGCGGCAATTCCTGACCTGGTCCGCAGGCGAGCCGACGGTGGCCAGCCTGCGGGGCCTGCTTTTCCAGGCTTACACGTTTCAGGTGCTCGCGCGCGGGGGCACGTTCCGGGTCAGGGACCTGACTGCTTCCGCAATTGGCGGCGGATCGCATGAGGTGGTGCTGCCGCAGATGTCGCGCCTAGATGTGCAAGACCTTTCAGCAGCAGAGGCTGGCTGCCTGGTCATTCCGGCACGGAAGAACTTCCCGGCCATTGACTGCATGGTGGTGCTGCCAGCCCACGGAGGCGTCTTGACACCTTCCAAGCGGCTGCTGATGATCCAGCTTACCGTGGCGGCTTCGCATTCGGTGTGTGGTAAGGTAAAGGAAAATGCGCTGGCGGCACAGCTGAAACTGCTGCCGCCGACAATACGACGTCTGAAGGCGGCGCTGCTCTTTGCCATGCCGCCTGACGTGTTCGACCGCATTGGCGCTCAGAAGATGTCGGGCACAGGGCCTCTGAGCGACATGCCGCAGTATGCGCTGGAGGTGCCCATCAGCGGCTTCAGTGAGAGCACTAACATGAGCAACGCCAGCAGCGGCGTGAACACCAGCAGCGCCAGCAGCATGCAGGATAGCCGCTGCAGCGGCCGCGTTTCACATGAGCGCCGCAGTGGCGATGTGAGCAGCAGTGCGGTGCTCGTGCGCCCGCACCTCAGTAGCTGCCTGCCAACGAGGCTGGGGCGACGAAGCCTGCCGCTGGGTGACATAACACGACAAGCCGTCCGCGGCGCCATCGTCCCCACGCGGTCACTGGGGCCCTGGTGATTGCGTTGAGGGAGCCTTTTTAGTTATTGCATACAAGGCATGAGCGAGGTCCATGCTAAGACAGTGTGGAGTTGGGTGCGTTGCGGGGAGGGTCCGACCCTGACGAGGGGGGCCGCAGCGGGGGCTGAGCCGCCTCCGCTGCAAAAAGGGCATTTCGATGGAAGGTGTGGATAGCCAGGGGAGAGGGGGGTAGTTGATTCCAGATACGAAAAGCCAATCGACCATTGCGAAACCCAGCACCCATAGAGCGAGGAGGAGAGGGATATACTCTTGTTCTTGGTGATCATCTTCAGGGAGAGGGGGGATGCACCAGGGAGGTGAAGGCCAGGGGAGATTATGGTGAAGGAAGGTGAATTTGTTTATTGTCAATGTCTTCTCTTCGGCTAGGCGGGGGCATATGGATTAAAAGGGTCCTAACTTGGTTGGTAGGTTGTGAAGGGCACGGACGTGTGTTTTCTAGGGCTTGGTGGTGTGTGTGTGTACGAGTTGTTGTGCAGATCATCATTACAGAGAAGGAACTGCGGGGCTGTGACAGCAGGGGGGATGGAGAGGTAGAAATAAACACCGGTTTTGGGCGGAGGAGTCGACTAGGCCTTCTTGGCCCGGCACTTCAGCTGCCGAGCCTGCATGGTGTATGTGTAGGCCGTGGGTGGCACGCACTTACTCGACTAACGATGGGGCTATCCCCATCCGTGGAACCTGGATCGTTGATGCAAGCAAGGAAACAGGTGTGCGGCCTCACGAGTGTAAACGGCCCCGCCATGGCTTTGCTTCGTCCGGATTGCATGAGAGAGTTACATGCGCATGGCTCAGCCACACTTGCCTGCTAGCTGTGTTCTGCACTGCACATGCAACTAGCGCATATTGCACCCACGGATCTCCTGTTGGTTCGGTCCGCTCACTCTCAGCCTGCTTTGCCAGCACCTATACTGCAACCTGACGCGCCTCTCGCAGCAAGCAGCCAGCCACACCAGCCAGCCACCACACCTCACGCTCATTCGTGCCTTCCTGCAAGCACAGCGCAACCAAATCACGTCCGTGTTCTTCAAGTGCACCCGGCACGCGGCCTTCTCTTCTCAACCGACAACGGGATACCAGGCCGACCGCAGCCTGCTGTCTCAGCTTCAGATTCAGCGAGCCTTGCTTTTAGCCCAGCGCTGCCCTAACTAATCGCACAGCCCTAACTAATCGCACAGCCGCAATCCTTGCGACAAATGCTGCCGACCGCAGCTGCTAGGGTGCGGCACTAGACGGCTGCCAGACCGCTGCAGCTGCGTCTTTATGAGCTGTGACCATTCCACTGTCCTCATGGTGAAGACGTGAACAGGGGAACCCCTGAACGCTATCGAATATGCATTCACACAATGTATTCATCTCAAGTTCATACGGGCATCAAAGCCCATGCCTCAAACATGCGAAAACCCACGGCACGAACCGTGGCAACCGCTCACGCACACACGCACTCACTCCCTGTATCGGACAAGCGGCACCGCCCGCCAGAGATGCAGTTGGTGCAGGAGGTGACAGACAGGATGGGGGGTGGGGCGAAGCGACAGGCAGAGGCCGCGCAGGAGCAGCGCCAGGTGCGGCGCGTTGCTCGCGCTCTTGCGGCCACTCAGCAGCAGGCCACGCACGCAATTGAAGCATAAGAGCTACCCGCCACGCCGGCGCCCGCGAAGAAGCCTGCGGGGGGCAAGCGTGGCGGCAACAGGAAGGGCAAGCGCGAGCAGGTGCGTGGCGAAACACACTTCGAGGTATCACGCATTGAGGCGACCAACAAGTACGTTGGTGGCAAGCTACAGTTTTAGTAATATTCAAAGGAAGCAGCTGCAGGAGGACCTGAGCCCCGACGCCTATCGCGCGCTGCGCAAGGCGATGAAAGTAACCTGATGCATCCCGTTTTATACATGTAGCAAAATATACTGATTTCACTGTAATTTTTACATTGTAGTCGACTCCGTGAGTATAGCCCCAGTTTTCCCCGAGTTTCCCCCGAGTTTCCCGAGCCGCCCCTGCGGCCTGCGCCCCGCCCGCGCGTGCCCACCAGCGACTATCATGCACTCCAGCGAGTCCCACCCGCGCTGCAGCTGTCAAGCGTGTGGAACCGTGTGCGCTCGGAGGCAGCTTATGGAAACCGGGCCAGCCCCATGCGTCTCTCTGAGTTTACACGCAGCCCACACACGCAGCTTCTACCACCTATGCCTTTCATCGCCTTCGTCGCCTACCTCCTGAAAGCAAGCAGTTGTTCCGACGATGGGGTTCCGCGCGTCGTCCGAAGTCTGATGGTCGCGGTTGAAATGGATGTCTGGACATGCCCAGAGTTGCGTAGCCTCGCAGCTTCTAGTACCGAAATCGCGTCATCAAGTAACTGGGGCAACGGCGCTGCTGCGTGAAACAGCGCCAGCGCCGACGGTTGCCGACATATAGCGCTGAGGCCAGGCCTGCCCGCAAGCACTAGGGACATCATTATGGTAATACTGTAATTTGTGATCTTATCATTTCATCCCAATACCTGAGTCCAATTCGCGTTATTCTAAACTGCATCAAGGAACGTGCGCAATTGTAATTTCACAGCATGTAATATGGAAGTAGGTACTTAGCCGGCCCTGATCCAATACGTTGGGTTTCTTTGGATGTCCATCTTGTGGCGAAAGGTCAGCTCGTCCATACGGGCAACCGGCTGTGCTTGCATTTCATTTGTATCATGACTGCAGTCAAACCAAGTTCATCGCCATTCCTTTTATTTAGTACATCCCAAGGAACGATGCTTCTGCAACAACGACATGCATCTCGCCCGGCAAGGTGAACATTTTTGCCATTTCCACACATATACCCTGTAGACCAAATTATCCCATCCAATCACATGATATGTTCCGCTACTCGATCTGCCATACCTCTATTATCGATTACAACGACAGTATGCCGACGTGCGATGACTTCCGACTGACCCATGCGCAGGACGGGACTGAACCAACGGCGACGCCCAGCGCCCTTTCAAGGCAGCAAGCTTTCACCCAACACCCCCTGCTCAGCCTCTGCTGAGGTTACTGAAACAGCTACAGCGGGCCCCTTTCCCGCAGGTGGGTTGTCACATTTACGTCGTGCGCCGACATCCTCACCCTCGCCACTCTCACCCCCACGCATGCACCTCTTTCCGCCCTTTCCCCCGCTACCTCTGGACCCAGAAGCCTCCACCACCTCCACCGTCACCGCCTCCAGCAGTGCTTACACCACCATATCGACCCCCGCACCCCCCGGCGGCCACCATGGAGGGCGACCCAATGTAGTTGCACTGCTTCGCTCCAGGGGGCTGGTCCAGGAAGTGACGGGGGGGGAGGAGCTGGAGGCGGCTGCGGGGGGGGCGGAGGGGCCGCTGTCCGTTTACTGCGGATTCGATCCCACTGCGGACTCCCTTCACCTCGGAAACCTCCTAGGTATTGTCGTACTGTCGTGGTTTCAGAGGTACGGAAGGGGGGAAGGGTTGGAAGGCTTGGGAACCGAGGATTGTGTGTATGTGTGTGCTGGGGGCGGGTTGTGGGACGAAGGGGGGGATCTGCGTGCGTGTGTGTGTGCGTGTGCGTGTGTGTGTTGGGGGGGGGAGGGGTTACTCACAGGGAAAAGAGGGAAACGTTTGGGTTACGGGGGAATGGGGGTATGTGAAGAAAGGGATGGCAAAGGGTTCCTAAGGGGTTGCGGAAAGGGTTTTACCTGCAGAGCCCTTACTCAGGGTTACCCTAGCCCGCAACTAGTGTCTATGAGTGGCAGTACCTTGCAATGACATGTAGTGGGAGTATTGTTGTTGTTGTTGTTGTTGTTGTTGATGGGGTGTTACACTGTGGGCGGCTCGCCCGATAAAGGACGAGCACCGGGGGCCCTGACCGGGCCGAAACACAGCGCAGGGACGGGCGCGCGGCTCTACGTCCGTCTGTTCCTCCGCGCGCGCCTCATTCCCTCACTCACGCCAACCGGGACGCTCTCCCAGCCCCTGGCTAGGCAACACAGCGGTGCAGAGGACTGCGAACCGAACTAAGCGAGAGCCGCACGAAAGGCGCCACTTTGCCTGGCCTGCCTATTCGCGCGCTCTCGTCCCTCTTGACCACCAAAACAAGAACAAAAAGAAAACACCACCGGGGGCAGGGGCTCTACTCAGGGGGCTCCTCTACAACCTCAAAAAACAGGGCCCCACGAAGCCAGCAAGGCAAGAGATACGTTGTTCTTGTTGAGATATGTTGTTGTTGTTGTTGTTACAGGGTGGTACAGCTTCACCAGTGGCCTCCTTCCCGAGGCAGTCCCTGCTCTCCCCTGATAGAGGGGCACCCTAATCCGTTCACCCCATCCGACTTCAGAATGTATTCGTTGGGTTCAGCAACTCACCACCAGCATCCAACCATCCGATTTGTTTTCATGCAGTATATCCTCAAGTACATGTACTCTTTCTCCCCGCTTTCCTCGGATCCTCCCCTCACTGTCACCCGAGTGTGTGTTGTATTGGTGTGTGTATGTGTATCTGTACGGCAGGTGTGGTCACCAGCCGGTGGCGCTCCTGGGGGGGGCCACGGGCCGAGTGGGCGACCCTTCGGGCCGCAGTACGGAACGCCCCGTACTGTCCGAGGAGCAAATTGAACACAATGTGGCAGGTGAGTGCGTGTACGTGTGTACCTGTGTATGTGCGTGTGTGTTTTACGTATCCATCCGGGCTGGCCAGTGTGTGCTCCCTCCCCCTCCCCCTCCCCCTCCCCCTCCCCCCCTCGAAAATGCCTAAGGGTTTTTTCTTCTCGTCAATCGTCCGTCCGTGCGTCGTCATACCCCCCCCCCCCAACCCCAACCCCTCCTAAACCCGCTGAACCCCCCTCCCCACCCCCCTCCCCACCCCCCGTCCCGCAGCCATCCGCTCCCTGCTTCAGGACATCCTGACACGTAACTCCCCTCCGGGAGCCCCTGCCGTACGGGTGCTCAACAACCTGGACTGGTTCGGGCCGATGAGCTTCCTGACCTTCCTGCGGGAGATCGGCAAGTTCGCCCGGGTTGGTGCCATGATGGCCAAGGACTCGGTGAGTTGGAGGGGGGTTGAGGGGGGGAGGTGGGGGGGGTTGGAGGGGTAAAGATGTGTATGGCGGGAAGGAGAGGGGAGGAAGATGAGGAGGAAGGTTGAAGTCCGAGGGGTGAGGGGTGGTGGTAGAGGGGGAGACGCGCAGGGCGGAAAGGCGGGAGGAGGGGAGCTTAAACACATGAAAAACACATGAGGACCCCCGTGTTTCCCCCTTTCTCCCCCCGGGCGCACCACATGCCAGGTTCGTACACGCATGGAAAGTGAGCAGGGCATCAGCTTCACGGAGTTCACGTATCAGTTGCTGCAGGGGTACGACTTCGTACACCTGTGCCGGGAACACAACGTACGGGTACAGGTGAGAGGTGGGGACGGGGAAGGCGGTGAGGTAAGGGGGTTTGGGGGGTAGGATCACGTCCAATGCGCTTTTTCCCAGTCAGGTGTTCTCAATCACTTGTGCATTTCAGCTTTCGGCGGTTAGCAGGTCCGTTATCCACCACTCCTAACTCCCACCATAATCCCACCATCCCGCGCCGGCCCCGCCCCGTGTTTTGTCGTACATATCCTCCTGCCCCCCCTCCTCCCCCTTTCTTCCCCACTTCCCCCCCCGGTGTTTTACAGATCGGCGGCAGTGACCAGTGGGGCAACATCACGGCGGGTACGGATCTTGTACGGAAGCTCCTGGGGGGGGAGGACCGGGAGGCCCCGGCCTGCTACGGCCTCACGTTCCCCCTGCTGGTGGGTGTTGTGTGTGTGTATGTGTGTATGTAAATGGGTTGGAGGGCTTGGGGGGGTTCGTGTGGGGGGAGCTGGGTGGGGGAGACACACGTCGCTTCCCTCATGCGCTCATTTCGGCGCTACGTGGCAAGCAATGTCCGGGTGGTATGTGAGTGTGCGTGTGTCTGTGTATTTTGTTAACATATCACACACCCTTGCCTTGTCGTATTGCCGTACTACCGGCCCGACCCTGCCGGCCTGATCGGCCACCAGGTGGACAGCGAGGGCCGCAAGTTCGGTAAATCGGTTGGCGGCGCCATTTGGTTGTCGGCGGAGAAACTGTCGCCGTACAAGTTCTACCAGTACCTCTTCCAGGTTGGGGGGGAAGGGGGGGAGGTTGCTGCTGGACGCCATTTGCCCGTAGAGCGGGGGGTTCGTGCCGGGGCAGGGGGGGCCCTCAGGGTTTTGAATGGCCCCAATGTGTGTGTGTATATCGTTACATATCGATCTGGGCGTGACGCTGGCCAGGGGCACCTTATCGTGCGCGCGCGTGTGTGTGTGTGTGTGTGTGTGTGCGTGTGTGTGCGTGTGTGTGTGTGTGTGTGTGTGTGTGTGCATGTTTCTCGGGCCGTTTGGCAAGATGAGGGGAGGAGGGGGCCTGTGGATATATGATCAGATGGACGTACCCTTGCATATACATACATACATACATACATACATACATACATACATACATACATACATACATACATACATACATACATACATACATACATACATACATACATACATACATACATACATACATACATACATACATGTTGTTACAGGGTGGTTAACTTCGCCAGCGGCCCCCTTTCCCGGGGCAGTCCCTGCTCTCCCCTGCTAGAGGGGCACCCTAATCCGTCACCCCATCCGACTTCAGAATGTATTCGTTGGGTTCGGCAACTCACCACCAGCATCCAACCAAATCTAGCGGATCAACGGCGCATCAACTTAGTTCCTGGTCAGCTCGCAAGTTGATATTATCACGTCCTACACCGTCCGTATGATGGGGGGCCACCTCCCATTTCATCACTCCTCAAACACCCGAGGAGCTGGCAGGCGGATTTGAACCCGGGTCGACTGGGTCGACTGGGAGCAGAAGTCAGGCCTTAACTTCTGCCAGCCGCCTGCCTACATACATGCATACATACATGCATACATACATACATACATACATACATACGCTCTCTCACTTCATTTGCCGGACCCATGTTCCCGCCGTCCATTATTCTGTCGTACATGTAATCATTAGGTAACCGACGCTGACGTCATCAAGCTGCTGAAGATGCTTACCTTCCTGCCTCTCGAGGAGATCGACGGCCTCCAGGCGGCCATGGGCGCCCCCGGCTACGTCCCCAACACGGCTCAGCGGCGGCTGGCGGAGGAGGTGACCCGGTTCGTACACGGGGAGGAGGGGCTGGCGCAGGCGATCAAGGCAACGGAGGTGCGGGGGTGGCTGGGGTGGAGGAGTGCGGGGGGGGGGTGCGGGGAGGGAGGGGGAGAAATGTTTAGGGTTTTCGGAGGGACCTTGGTGCGCTGGGATCAGCAGTACAAGTGGGGGAGGGGAGGAGGGGGGAAAGACGAACCACAAACGAGTGAAGCTGCTGCCAGGGCAAGAGTGTACCAGACGTAGAATTGACCAAAAGGCGTTCTTGAAGGTACATACACATACATACACATACATATACATACACACACATACACACATACACACACATACACACATACACATACATACACATACATACACACAATCTCTCTTTCCCCTCCACTTCCCCCTTCAGGCCCTCAAACCCGGTGCAGCCACCCAGCTAGACGCGGCCACTCTGGAGACGGTGGCAGGTGATGCCCCCAGCGCCACACTGACCCGTGGTTCGGTGGAGGGCGTCCCTCTGGCCGACATCCTGGTGGCAGTGAAGCTGCAGCCCAGCAAGAGCGCCGCGAGGAAGTGAGAAGGGGGAGGGCTGGGAGGTGTAGGGAAGAGGGAAGAAAGGGTGAGGGAGTTGAGGGGAGGGTGATGTAGGGGTGTGTGGGCGGAGGAGCATTGGTGCCTGGGTATGAGGCGAAATGGGAGCGCCCACTCCACCCCACATGTCACATTTCAAACCAGCGGTATATCACTCTTTTTCCCTTAAGCCCCGATGAAGCCAACCACCCCCGGCACTTCCCGCCTCTCCTCTCTACCACCCGGTCGGCACTGCCTCGCCACCAGCCGACCCCCAACCCTAACCCCCAACCCCGCTCCCGCCACGCCGCTCATACCCCCCGCCATGAACCCCCCCACACACACACCCCTCCATTCCCAGGCTGATCAAGGGCGGTGGTGTGTACCTGAACAACGCCAAGGTGAGTGAGGAGCTCTACACCGTCAAGCCCTCCGACCTCATTGACGGCAGACTGCTGCTGATAGCCGCCGGCAAGAAGAACAAGATGCTGGTGCGGGTGGCCAGCGAGTGAATTACGTTTTAAATAGCCAGCGAGTATGTATGTGTGTATGTGTGTACTTGTACGTGGACTGTATCCAAGGCCAGATGGGAAGTAGGGCAGGGGGGATGACAAAGGCGTAGCGCAGACTGGCAGTTGGGGGAAAGGAAGGGGCGATGGCAGGGAAAAGGGTGGACATACATACATACTCACAGACACATACGTTTATCCGAACAGTCACTTTGGGCTTTTCCCATATCGCGGTCAGGCTTTAAAAAACGCACACATAAACATACGTACACGCACACGCGATCGTGTGTGTGCCCTCGTGCTCGTGTTTTGGCAGGACAATCGTTCGTGTGTGTTTTGAAAGCCTTTGTGAGTGTTAAGTCTATGTGTCTGTCTGTATGTATGTAAGGAACTGAGCCGCAGGAAGGTGGCGTGGCGAGTGGGTGTAGTTTTGCAGCACGTGTAAAACCGCAAAGAAACTGGAGGAGAAAGGCACTGGCCTCGCAATACGCGGTATGAAAACGCGGCAGCGCCGCTTGGTTCCCTCCAGCCGCCCCTTCCCCCTGCACCTGGCTGCCCTACCTGCATGGGCAATATCAGCAGCAGCATGATAACTACACTTACAACAAGAACAACGCGGCGAGGAGAGCAGGGCGGGTTTTTCCGCGCTTTTTTAGTCCTGGCGGCTAGGTAGGTAGGTAGGTAGTTTTTCCGACAACATCCTCACTACGTCATCCCGAGGTCGCCGCCTTCAAGAACGCCTCTTGGTCGGTTCTACTCTTGGTACACACTTGCCCTGGCAGCAGCTTCACTCGTTCGTGGTTCGTCTTTCCCCCCTCCTCCCCCCTCCCGGGGTTCGGAGCCCGTCAAGGGGTGCGGGGTGGGTGTGGGTTGTGTGACAGCTGGGGGGGGGGAGGCTTGCTTTACGGGCTGCATGGGTGTCCTTGGCTAGGGTAGGGTTTCTCAGCCCTGAGGCAGCTATCCCTTCCGCGGACGCGGAGGGCCGTGTCTGGCCTGGGTAGGCCTTCACTTGCCTCACCTCTTTGGGTATGTGGCGGAGCCCTTATTGTTTGTGGATCCCCTGTCCCCGGTAGCGTTCTTGTACCTTTTGTTTGGCGATCTAGGGTCGCAAGAGTGTGTGAGTGGGCTGGCCAGTCGTAGTGGTGGGAGGTGGTCTGGTTGGGGACTCTCATGCGGTTCTCGCTTAGCACGGTTTGCAGTGTTCCGCGGCGCTGAGTTGCTCAGCCTGGGGCTGGGAGAGCGCCCCGGCTGACGTGAGTGAGGGGGTGAGGGAGTGAGTGAGTAGTGAGGGCGTGGGGCGGAGAGACGGACATGGGGCCGCGCCCCGGCCCTGTGCTGCGTGTTCTTGAATATATCATGTTGATCAACATCGAGCATTATCTCCTCCTCATCCTCCTCCGCAGCCTTGCCATGCTCGTTGGCTAATTCTGGCCGGGTTAGGCGTTTCGATGCAAAAGGGCCGTCGATAACTCCCTACTGGGGCCTGGTGGGAGCCGTCCGCAATGCCTGGATGGCCATCTGCAGCCGGGGAACTGGTGTGTAGTCGGCTCTCAGAAGCGAGAGTCAAGAAGTGGTCGGTAAACTCGATGCGGCGGGCCACTGCACGGGCCACCTCACCTGACAGGTCGGATTTCTAAAAGTCTGCGGTTTTCTTGTACCCGCGAACTTCCATTGCGGGGTATATACACTTGGAGACCGCGGAAGGCATGTGTACAATGTACCATATCCGCCGTGTTGTACTGCTCTTGCTCTTCAGGTTTGCAACGTTTCAGTGAGCATTACGTCTGCAGTGCTCAAATGCCCAAATATTTATGTGCTACGGACGAGCTTGAACACAGATCGGGGTCGACAGTTGACATGTGCAGTTGCGATTACACTGTATTGCAAAAGAGTAAATGGACTTTTCCGGAAATGTTTTTTCCTCCTCATTTATGATAGCCACGCTGCTGCATCCTTCCCTAGAGGCGCTGTTGAGTAGCTGTGGTAGGCGGGGCGGCGGTGGTGGGTGGGAGTTCTGGCAAAACTTGTTTTGAGCACGAACCATAAGGGTGTGTGACTGATCCGCGGCGGCTGTCGGGATCACACTAGTTCCTCCGATATCGGGGGGAAGGGTGACGCGAACATGACCCGATGCTGGGCCGGCGAAGGACGCGCTGCTTTTAGTAATTACGCGAACTTACAAAGTTTAGCCGGCCTTACACTTTTGATCCGCCGACCGCTCAGCCCCCACTTTTGATCCGCCGACCGCTCAGCCCCCCCTTCATCGCTGCCCTTCACTACCCCACTTTCACCACACCATGTAGCCGTCTACCTTCCTACAACTATTGCGGCTACAAGGGCAGAATATCCGCTAGCCACATGGTCAACAATAGCAGCCTGATCATTACTTCTGCGCTTTCTGTACTATGCCAATCTGAGTCTCCTTTGTCCTCTATGTGCCCAACATAGCGCCCGAATTCGTCACGCCCTCTTTAGAACTCTCCTCCGCCCGTACCCCTGCTATACGGCATACACCAGTACGGTCGTACACCCGTGCAAATGTAAGGATGGCAAGAACCGTTCAACCGTACGAACTGTTTTTTTTCACAGAGAGCACTTGTGCTGATGGAAAATTGATCCAGAGCAGGGTTCAAGGGAGCTGCCCACGAGGGTCAAAAGATACCGGGGGCGGAGAAAATGCCTTGTTTCACACCAAATCTGAACAATTTCCGAGGTAAACGGACTCTTCACATTACTCACTTCTCAAAATCTCTAGGTTGATATTGAAATTGTCGACCCAAAATCAACTCCTGCCAGCAACGACGGTCGGTCAATATAGACGACTTGCAAGAAAGATAAACTTATTAACACGTAACGGTCTTATTGGTGGTGCTTGCCTTGGCAGCGCACATGGAATAAGGACATGTACACCCTACATGTATTCCTTGTGGACGAAGCTAGAGACGCCCGAGACGGACCCTGCTATGATCTCCAGAGAAGCGCTCAATGTCCGCTACCTCCATCCGTAACAGCACACCAACGGAAACACCGACCGTAACTGTCCACAACCGAACTGACTGTCCTTAACTTACATCGACAGAACAGAATTGCTCGCGCCCAGAAGCGACACACAAACGGCAAAACGGCAGATTAACTGTTTGCTTTGCGACCTCCTCAAGATGCAGCGGATACCAACGTAATTCGTGGGCGGTGAAATAGGAAATGCCGTTATCGCGCCCTTCGTTGGTCATTCGTCCCGAATGCATCCCAACTCCGTTCGCATGTTCAACAGACACCAATACAAGAACCCAGGTTTGCACTGTACGGCGCGACACGCCCTGCCTGCAAAGTCACATGCTGCGAGTCGGCAGTCCGCAAGCACCCGGCCGCAAGCACCGAACAGCAGCCAGCCCACGACTTCAGTACTCTCAAAGCTTTTTATACACATCTGCATCAGCGTTATCCATTTCAACGAATGCTAACAGTACACTGTGGCTCACTCTTAGCATACGCTTCACGTAAAACAAGATATTTCATTATCCTCCCCCAATTGTGTTCTTCTCTCCTCGTGGCAAGCCATCACCTACGTGCGGGTCACTTACCAGCAGCCCACCCATCCTTCCAATCTATACCGAACTCCATCTGAACATTCGGCCATAACATTAAAAGGCTCACCCCGAACAATCCTCGGGCCTCCATGTGAGGATCGCGTGGCATCAGTCAACAAGAAACACATCCTGAGCACTTAAAAAGATAAGTCACATCAAACACTGACTGACAGCAGCCTAAACAGCTGGATACCTCTCCTCCACCATTCGAAACTCTTACAAGATACGAGGAAAAATTTCCCTCCGATACAAGTCCAGCGACTACTTCGCGGCCTCCGTCTCCGCAACCTTCTGGGTCGTCAGTTCGGCGGCCTTGACAACCTTGTACGCCATCACGCCCGCGTCAGCAGCACCATCTGGGCGGTAGAGCCGCCCGTAGCCGAGCATGCGCTCCACAACAGACAGGTACCTCGGGTTGACCGCTTCACCATGGTAGTAGTCGTGGTGTCCATCAAGGATCGCCAGCCAGCGGCGGTCGCCCTCACGAAGATCCAGACCGGTGATGTCGGGAATCGTAAAGAAGGTGAGGATGATTCCTGTGTGCAATATTCGACAGAGGTCCCTTATAACGCGTGTGTGAAAATCACATCTTGTAAAAATTACGCATTTCAGCATCCTACAACCGCCTCCGGGGCCCACAGTTCGGAGCTAAGGTCTTTCCTGACGTGGGGATGCAACCGCATCGTGTGTTTTTTGAACGGGAACAGGCCACAGGGAACACGCCATCCTCTCACGCGACAAGATGGAAGCACAACAAGCAAGTACGGCGCGGTGCTTACCTGCCAATCCGCAAAAGGCGCTGATCCAAAATTTGGCGCGGTTGTCCACGAGGTTAAAGACGACACCCGCCACCAGCGCACCGGCCTTGCCGACAGCGGCAGAAAAGCCGTGGCACATCGAGCGAACCTCCGTAGGAGACAGCTCAGCAGGCAGCAACCAAGTGGTGGCGTTGGGACCAAACTGGCCCCAGAAAGATGAAAAGTAGTACATGAACTGGAAGGCATGGATATAACTGCAAAGCAGGTAGAAATTCGAGCGGACGAGGCACAAGACATTCAACACAAGATGTGACATTTTGCCTTGGTCAAACCCTTTGACCCAAGCTGGAATGCGGTCATTACAGCTAGCTGACATATCTACCGCGCCCCCAAACTTGGGGCTTCGCTTCCAAAATGTTAGGACTCACTTTGCAAGTAGCTTGTTGTAGTGCACGGCACAGATCAGGAAGAGTACGAACTGCAGGGGCCAAGGAGGCACAACGGATTGGTTCTTCACAATGGTCTTCAACAACAGATCGGCCCAGGGGGCAACGGAGGATCAATTGCTTCGCGCACAAGAATGTAGAGCTCGCACAGATAATTTGTGAGATGAACATGAGTCGGCGTATCGATGATACACCGGCGGCACCAGTCCGCAGTATGACACAGTAGCAGGCCGCGAATGAAAAGCGTTCTCAAGCTGCTGGAAGAGATCTATACAACGTGTACATCTATGCCAAACCAAACTCTGCGACAGCTGCGACGAACCACAGTGCAAGGCACGTCTTCTGCATTTCCTCACCATCCAAGTGAATCCCAGCATCTGCATGCGCATGCGACCCATCCACGGCTTGTCAATCGTGAAGGCGGCGAAGTAGTAACCCACAAGAGCCACAGCGCTGTTCAGCAAGGTCCACTCCAGGACTTGAATGAGGCTGGCCGTCGGGTTGATAATCTGTTGGACAACAGGAAACGATGCGTATCAGACGATTGACGGGTTGTTTGCACTCACGATAAAAACACACCTTACATCATACGTCTCCTCCTCAAGACAATACAGCAGCAACTTAACGTGGGCAAAAGCACAAAAGTCTTACTAAATTAGGTCATGCTATGCTTACCTTGATAAATGTGCCTTGGAAAAGCTGTAGGGGGAGCGCCAGCGGAGCGAAGGGGCCGCCGAGGGGAAAGTAGGGGATACAAGTGTCATGCAATGACGTACATACATCAGGAAGGGAAAGCAAACCATAGAAGGCAACATAGCAGCAGCAGCAATTAACAATCCGACCCACCTAGCGCCCCAAACCTAACACCATCACGCTGCATGGGGATGATGCTCAGGAACACAAACCAGGTTACATAGATCCGAAGCCCAAGGGAAACCCCCAGTCTCCGAAGGGGCCCCCATGGCATTACACCATCCCCCCAGTCAGTACGGCCTACCTTGTTGCCGTAGAAGGCAAAATCCCAGACGAACCAGCTCATGGCCGTGCCGAAGTTACGGTGCCAGTAGTAGTACATGAGGAGACCGAACTTACGCCACTGGACACCCTTGGCACGATCACCTGGGTACATACAATGCATGTAATATAGCACATGAAGATGCGAAATAGCGGGGACCTTGATTTTCAGAGGGCATGCTATGCAGCCAGCAGGTCCGTATGAGCAGGGCGGCAGAAAGTACATTGGTCCTAGGAGAGAGCCCCAGTCACGAAGGGCTCGTTGCGGCAGGGCTGGGGCCCTCAAGGGGGGGCATCATGTGCGAGAAAGTGGAACTGAAGTGCCGGTGTCCAACAAGGTCCCAAGCTGCTGAGGGCTTTAGACATTCCTCTTGATTTGGCGGAGGCTGTCATTCGTTTGTAACGGAGCGCTGTTGTGGACGGAACTATCAGGAATGCAAACCAAAGGTATTGTACAACATTCCTCTACTAATAATACGATTTCGCAAAGTTTGCGTAGTTCTACAGTGTCCCGAATGTACGGCATGGTGTGTTAGCCCTAAGGTCCTTTCAAGGAGAATTGCGGTGTGGCGATGTGACCTAAAAACAATGACATCCCGGCCCTCCACTGGCTTCAATTAGCGGTTATCCCCCCCTTCCTTACGATTAAAAGCCGCCGCGCGCACCTCGCGCGCTGTGTCACACGTATTTTGTGTCCTAAGCGCCCTCTAGTACACACCTCCCATGGCCTTGAGTGCCTCGCGCTTCTTTTGCCACACGGCGGACTCCCTCAGGCGGAAAATGCGGTACAGGAAAATGCCGATAAGGGGGATGAGCCCGATGGCGTAAGACAGACGCCACGTCACCTCCAGCGCATACGTGCTGTAAGGCTTGCTGTATTGATGGAAACCGGCCATAATGGCTGCATGCAATGCAATAGAAAGGAGGGCGAGGAAAGAGGGCATTTGGGGATCAAATATGTTGTCTTCTTACCTAAGACCCAACATCAACAGGCTCTCCTAACTTAGGCTTAGTGCCCGTTAAGAGTCCTGCATGCAAATACCAGAGCTTGTACCACTCTTCTAAAAAGAACAGAAGACTTGACCAGGCGAATGCGGTAGCATGTAGTCGCGAACATGCAGATGATCACATGTCGCGCCCCCCGCTGCATCCGAACATGGGCACCAACCGGCACCGGCGTAGGGTGGACAGCGCTGTGCAGGGTGGTGGGCACTAGCATTTTCGCGGCAATGGCCTACCGATGATGACGGCGGTGTTGACTAGGTTTCCCCAGCCCTGCATGCTGAACACCAGTACGACCGTTTCGCCACGGCGTTTCTGCAGCTTTGTGGATGACTCAGCGCGCTCGTTGGCGGAGGTCGACGCAACAGGATATTCACCACCAACACCGATTCCAAAGATGAATTGCACAGCTGTAAACATCTCCCACAAGGCCCTCTCCGTCGGGCCCTTGGATGCGATAATTAGGATAGCGCCTGCAAGAGGTACGAAGGCAGGGGATAGGTCCCGACACAGAAGAAAACCGGTGGTGGCGACCGGTACATTTCTAGTAGCTTTAGAAATTGTAGCTGCCCAGACTCACCGATGACCATAGTTCCTGCCGTTGAGACTGAACCCCATTTCCGCCCGATTCGGTCGGCGAAAAATCCCAGGACTATTTGACCGAAAATGATACCGCAGACTTGTGTATATGTGATAGAGTCCGAGAGCTTGAGTGGACACGTCTGGTGTTTAGCCCAGCAAAGGGGGTATTCTTGCTTCCACAAAGCTGTGCATGGGAAGGGAGAGTCGGCAAACGTGAACAACAGAAGTCCATGAGAGAGTCTTCGACAAGCAAACGCATTACACACAGGCCTATTGAAGCTCCGTGACAGTTTGCGAGACCAAAACCCAAAGCAGCCTTACGAATAGCGGAAAGGGTCAAAAGGCCCTTCTCCTCACCTGAAAGATTCCCGACAGCGAAAACGAAGTAGGCTTCACAGAACTGACATGTGCATAAATAAAAAAAGTCGTCATGCTAAGCGGGGAGCCGAGAGTGATAAAAAGACCTTGACGACGTACCATGCCAAGGCCAGGAATCATAAACGAGCCCAGAAACAAGAAAAACCTGTCGGATGATGATAAATGCGAGCATATCAACGTCAAGAAGCGAGCACGAATAGACGTTACCGCTAGCGCAGCCGCCAGAAGGACTCACGCCACGATAGGGTTGTGCTTGACGGGATGTTCCACCTCCTCCACTACATGTAATAACGAGTTCTCCGCTGCTCCCAGCTTAGCACCGGATTCCACATTTGCCTCTTCGGCTGTGCCGGCTGCCGGCTTCCATGGCTTCGCGTCCCCCATGTCTAAGATTATCGCACGTTTCTTCTATTGTAAGGCTACAGTTTAAATAAATAAAACAGATCGTGATGGACGTGCTCCAAGCACAAACCTAGCCGTCAATTGGAATTTCCCTGCGTGGCTCGAAATTTGGTATGAATCGGCTTATGGCCATGCCAATATACAGAAGGGCGATGAGTTTACGACATGCAATCGTAAATTTTTCAGTTAGTAAATAAAGGCATATTCCCCAGACACGCCTTGCCGTACAAAGCATTTTCAAGATGCACCGAAGCAACTTCAGAATTTCAGCATTCTACGAATTGCTTACATTTATTCTGCCGTAATCCTGACAAATTTTCTTCATGCCGTACAAGGACCAGAAGGTTGCATTTTGGCATCCCGGAATGCGGGAGAGTTCATCAAAAGTACAATCTGCCACATGCCTCGAACGGAAGCTCGGTGATCCTGCTTTTACTCAGGAACGTTGTAGCCAGGATGGAGGAAAACATATTTTATGCAATAACATTTTGCCCATTGTCAGGGAGCTGAACGTCTGCCTTTCGCAAGTCTGTCATTTTGCAGTACGTCGTGGTAAAGTGCTGCACTCACACGTTGCCACCCTTCCATGTAAGGGTAAGATATGCCGCTTCCTAGTTCAGGGACATGCATGGAGTGATCTATTACCTAAATATCATCATCAGTCTGTGTGCGTCATTTAATGAATCGCGCCGCCTCTGGGCATGAGCCATATCTGCAGCGGATTCTGATCACGGCGCTTATACCTCATTATTGCTGTCTTCCACTAGGATTTTAAAGCCATAGCGCCATTTGCAGCCGCGCTGCTTAGTCAAGGGAAGCGGTACCTCTTGCGGAAGCACCTGTATACAGCTCCTGCTTTCTTCTTAAATAGAGTTAAATTCTACCATTATGTTACGGTAGCCTCCAGGTTGCCACTAATCATCCGAAAGGGTTTTTTAGTTTTAACGGTCATTGACTTTTTCGCAAAGGTACCTGCGAGCCCTTTTACTCGATGCTTTGCTGGATGTAATGGCTGCATTGGTGCATGGTATATTAGGCTTTTGTAGGGGTAAAAATGATGTTAAGCTGCTTTTTAATTTTGCACGACGGCCACGACGGCTAGTCGCTAATGCGGCTACACGGAGGTCTTGTAAGCCATATGGCTTGTTATGCATAACAAGGATTACGTTTCGCACAATTGCGTCGGAACTCGACGGCATTGATACACGGGCGACACCATCGTGGAATCAGTCCGCCTTAGCAACATCCATTGCATGACGCCGTGCGCCACTGTCATAAGCCGTTGTGAGTCATTGTTAATACAAGTTACAAATTGCACACATTGGCGAGGGGGGACCGCCACATCCCGCCAAGGTTTTTGCGCAGAGCATACTGCACTCCCTGCACAAACAGGAAGGAGTAATGATACTGCAGTGCTGGATTTCCCCTTTACAGACAGGACAAAACAACCTTGGACTCCCACTCCCGCGCGATCTGGGTCGGGCCTATTGCTCAGCTCCGGTTTCCCGAACTTAGGGAAATCCATGCACACGTGGCGTGCCGCTCCAAGACGTGCATGCGAAGTGCCTTACGTGGAAACAAGCTTGACCGGGAAATCGTTACAAATGGTTCTGGACATTGAAAAGTCAGCAGCCACACGTCTGGCAAAAAGCTGCGGTAGGTGAGGAGCGAACGGGTTAAGGGACGTGAAGGTCAGGATGCCGGCGAGACGTGCAGCTTTAGGCCGAAAGCCTAAGGGCCTGAGGGCCTTGGGAAGGACTCCCAACAGCTGAAGGATCACAGAACCTTTTTACTTCTCTCTATATGGAATTACCTTTCCCGGTCGGCCTTCGCCGGCCTGTCTCTTCAATGCTCTGGGCTTCTCCATGGCCGTCACATGAATCCGGCCTTGGACTCACAGTTAGTACAGTAGTTGTAGTCATGGTGGACGGTGCTGTATAGTGGCTAGGAATGACATTGTGTTCCAGGGGCCCAGAAGACTCCTACACTGTAACCTTTCAACACATAGCATAAAGATTAACATGACAGGTCACACCCGCCTTTTTTCTCGTGTGGACTGCCTTAAAGGTCAGCGCCAGTGTGAAAGGTAGCTGGACTGCCGTACAGGTCACCGCCCGCCATTCTCGGCCCTGTAGTACTGCCGTACAGGTTACCAACCATCTTCCTGGGGTGAAAGGCTACCGCCCGCCTTTTTTGGCAGTGGGGCCTGGCAGCAATCCATATTATTGTGGAGATATTATGGAAAAGGACATGCCATTTTATGGAAGAAAAGGACCTCATTCTATGGAAAAAGAGAGCCTCATTTTATGGAATCTCGACCCCCCCCCTTTTCCCAGAGTGCCAAGCTCGTCACATGAATCCTCAGCTGTTGCTGTCGTCGCGCTTAGTTGGCTTGCTGCTGGCCGCGGCAAACACATCCTGCATCTCGCCGCCGCGCGCGTCCAGCGCTTCTGCACCCTCCTCTCCTGGCCACCCGCGTTTCCATTCGTCCGTTGCGGTGAAGTCTTTTATGCAGTCGGTGCAATGCCACTCCTAGTCAACCAGAGGTCAGCTGTTTTCTGCCCGCTCGTCCTCTGCCTCGTGGTCTTGACTTCGATTTCAGTTCGGCATAACAAGGCAACAACAAGCAGATGGATGATGGGTCGTGGGTACTACTGTGATTCTGGGGACACCGACCACATTCTGGGAGAGCGATGTATCTGAACGAACTGGGGGGCCAGCCATCGCGAGGAACTGTGCAGTAGCCTACCGCACGTCCAGGTCCTCCGTCTTACCGCGATTGGCTCCGTACACAACACACACACACACAGAGACACACACACAAACACACACACAGACACACACACAGACACACACACACAGACACACACACACAGACACACAGACACAGACACTCCTACAATATGCATCTCCTGTCAGGATCCTGTTGACTTTAGGGTTTTAGGGTAGGGGGTGGAACAGCAAACAAGAGGAGCCTGAGTAGGAGAGAAGCAGCTAACAGTAAACGACTTTTAAACGAAACAAGCAGCTCCTGAACCGAACGGTGAGCTGCTAACAGCAGCGCAACAGCAGCGCCAGCAATTGAAGCGGCTGTGACGGCGGTGTCATGTCGGGTTTTCTCACGAGCAGGGTTAGGTGAACAAGACCTGATGCCGAGGTCCGGACTTGGCTGGGAGGTGAAATACGGGGGGTCAGGGGTTAGGGAGGGGCATCACTTGATGAACCCCGGATCGGAGCCCCCGTCAGTACCCCCCTCAGTAGTGAAGCACTTTGACATTTCACCAAGAAAAGCTATACATGGCGCCCAAAGGGTAACAGAACCAATGTGGGTTTCGGAGCCCTGACTAATAGCTGTTGGAATGTAACCGACACACTCATGAATACCAGTGAATGGTGACAGCCGTGATCGGAGCCGAGTGGGTCCGGCGCTTTGCTGGTCTTAACTATAGCTTTCTTACTACATCGTGCATGGCAGGCATCTGGGTCACACACCCGGCACCCTTTCGTAAGCGTAGCATGCATTCTGGCCGTTGAAGGCTCGACAGTTCGGGGGCAGAGTGTATCACCAGGCCTCCAATCATCCACAAACGTTTTAGCGGTCGCGAGGGTATTGTATTGTAGGGTAACTCATCAGGCCAGCAGAGCGAGCGCCTTGCTGTCCAACGGGAGACATGCCCCGGCCAACCCGGCACGTGAAGCTACGTTTACCGGGTTTACTAGGTTCATGTGGGTGCGCAATGATCAGGAAAGCTGGCTCATCTGGACAGATTGCAAAGATTCTTCAGTTTATAATCTGAGTGCGCGCGACTGGAGTCTACGCGAGCTGGTAGCTCTAGCTACAACTCAGGCCGACCTACACGCAAAACTGTGGCATGCGCATTTTGGCAACCTGAGCTAAGGTGGGCAATATGTTGCGCTTGAAAAGTGAGGAGATGGTGCATGGGTTGAGCGTGTCAGCTGAAACGTTGCGGGAAGCTGGAGGTGCATATATGCATCGGTCTGCGAAGAGTGCAGAGTGCGTAATGGGGTTGCATCCACGTCAGCCGTTCCCAGGGTCAGAATCTCGTGCGAAGGAGTATCTACAACTAGTCCACATGGACCTGTGCGGTCCGATTTAGTGGTTTTCTGAATGCCGAATAGTGCGATTATTATGGGCGGAAAGGAATACGACTGCGCCGTATACTCCGCAGCAAAACGGGCGGGCAGAACGCCTGAACCGGACGTTGTTGGAAAATGTGCGGTCTATGCTATAAGAAAGCAAACGGCCCACGAGCATGTGGTCATATACTGTGCTGACGGCGAATTCCTACGAAAGCGTTCGCCGTACCGGGATTTGAAGGGCACTCCCTACGAACGGTTTTATGGGGAGGCGCCAGACGTTTAAAATCTGCGGGTGTTTGGCTGTGTGGCGTATGTGCCCCGTGTACCGGATCCCCAGCAGTTGAAGCTGGAGCCGCGGTCCAGAAAGGGGGTGCATTCGGAGGTTACGAGCCTGATACGAAGGCATATCGTGTCGTGATGCCCTCGGGCAGCCATATTGTGAGCCGTGATGTGAAGTTTCAAGAGCATGTGTTCGGCCTAGAAGAGCCAGACCGGTACGTTCTGGTGAACCTAGGTGCTGATGAAGAAGAGTTGTTACCGACGTTATTTAACGATGAAAACAACAATGACGACGTGGAAGATTCTGGTTACCTCGAAAGTGTTCGGTGCTGGTGGAAAAGGGGACCTGGTAGAAGACTTGGAAGGGGACCTGGAAGAGGATTCAGAAGGGAACCTAGAACGGAGTCGGAAGAGAAACAGGAAGCGAATTCGGATGGGGGAGAGTCCCCTGGGGTTAACCCTTATCAACCGGGCTTCGAGGAGCCAAGCGATCAAGAACAACAGCTGCGTCGCTCACAGCGGTCCAACAAGGGAAAACCGCCAGATCGGTTAAACATGGTGGCAGTTCCGGGGGAACCACGGACCTACGAGGAAGCTAAACGTCCTCCTGCCTGGCCGATGTAGAAGCAGGCGATGGACCAGGAAATGGCTTCCATGCAGTCGCATGCTGTGTGGGAGCTGGAGACACCGCCAAAGGGAGTGCGTCCGTTGCCGGTAAAGTTGGGGTTTATGTGTGTGTGTTACATAGTTGGGGGTGCGTGACCCCATACCTGTAAGACTACCCATACGAGCCGAAGGCCCAAGGGCAATACTACAACGCCTAAAAGCCACGGAGGAAAGGAAAACACCGCACATCAGCCCAGACTAGCGTCCAAAGGGGGTAATTGAGTTTCGGTGAGCCCACATACGTTCCAACATCCTCGCAAGACGTGCGGGTTCCCATTTCATGGCCTCCAACATGCTCTGTTGATGATCGAATCCCTCTTCGGCACGAATATCATTATAGGCTGGGGTTTATACCTTAATCGAAATGAAAAGGGTGACATTGTTCGCTACAAGGCCCGGCTGGTCGCTAAGGGGTTTGCGCAGGTGGAAGGGAGGGATTATGAGGACGTGTTTGCCCCAGTGAGCAAGAGCAAGCACACCACCCTGCGTGCCCTGCTGTCTGTTGTGGCAGTGCGTGACCTTGAGCTGCACCAGTTGGATGTTAAGACGGCGTTTCTTAACGGCACGCTGGATGAGGTAGTATACGTGCAACTAGTCTCAATGCAGTTTGAGACGGACTTGGCAAGGGAAGCTGCGCGTTTGGGACGAGTGGTCGTTGGCATGTGCATATGTACGTGAAGAAAGGTCCGTTACGTTTTGACGGATGAAAGCCGAAATAAAGATGTAAGGGACGTCTGCGTGGACAGTGTGGTATCAACCGTCCTTTGACAGCCGGATGAAAGTGTGACCACATTTCATGTATGAGTGCGGATGCAGCCAACGCCATAAAACACAGGAACATGGAAAAACCTCACGCTACGCGTATGTAGGCTTGCCCACCTGAAAAATCGTCTTACTGTGGTTGAGGGGGCTGCAGCCCATGTTGCGATGGGACTTAGGTAAATGGCACGAGTGTGGTGAGTCGAATGAGGTGCGACTACCGATGGAAAGCTTACAAGGAGCAAAGCGAACTGTTGGGCTGTGCTCGTGTAACAAACTCCACACTACAAAACACACTCTTCGTCTTGTACCTGGTTTGTGCCTTGGTGGCCGAAAGGCCGGCATCTTAGCCTGGTTTGCCCGGGACGCGTTTGGGTAATCCTGGGATGACTGGGTCCGGAGAAGCGTCCTGAACCTTGTTGTCCGAAAAGACAAACACGGGAATAAAGCAACATAAACGTGCTCTTTTCCCTCCTCTCCCTCCTCTCCCTCCTTTCCTTCCTCTCCCTCCTCTCCCTCCTCTCCCTCCTCTCCCTCCTCTCCCTCCTCTCCCTCCTCTCCCTCCTCTCCCTCCTCTCCCTCCTCTCCCTCCTCTCCCTCCTCTCCCTCCTCTCCCTCCTCTCCCTCCTCTCCCTCCTCTCCCTCCTCTCCCTCCTCTCCCTCCTCTCCCTCCTCTCCCTCCTCTCCCTCCTCTCCCTCCTCTCCCTCCTCTCCCTCCTCTCCCTCCTCTCCCTCCTCTCCCTGTGAACGCTTTGCTCATCAATCTTGCAGATGTACTTCACGGTTTTAAGGTACACGTCTCTTCCTGCAGTTCTCGTTCTTCTAGTTCTTCGTTCCGTATTTGTCTTGTTGCCTATATGTCTGGTCGATTTGCGTCATGTGAACTTTTGTGACCGCCTTATGCTCGGCCACTATTCCACACTGCACATCTTCCTGGCTTCTGCGCTTTGCATTTTACCGTGTTTCCTCTCTTATTATTCAAGGACACCGTGCTTCGGCCCCGGCCGCAGCGCCTCCTGTTACGACATTCTTGCCGGGTTGCGCAATTAGTAATTGTGTCTCAGTCCCATGCTCGTCCATTTTTCATCCAACATCTCTTTGTCCACCTTTCAGGTGGGCAAGCCAACGTTAGAAATCGGAGGTGTTGGTAGGGGCTGGGAGCTTCTCCAGCTGGCGCTTCCCCGGGTCACAGCATCTGTGGCCATCAGCGCTGGTAATTCCTTTGGCATCGTTCTTTGGTCTGTGCAGGGCATATGTCCCTGGGGTAGGATGAACAGCCCGCTGTGCCTGTACGTTCGGCTAGTGACCGACTTGGCTGTCGGTTCCCACCCCATTTGTAATATCGCCCCTCCTCAAGCTGAAGTGCGCCTGGCTGCTGCCCTGTCATGGATAGAAGTAGAAATCTGTCCTGATTCAGGACTCCTGAAGCAAGAATGGGCCGTTTGGCAACTCACTGCCGGCAATAAGTATTTCGACTCGCCCCGTCAGTTGCAGTTAGAAGAGTTACGGTGGCATCCGGAACGGACTATAGCTCCCGATGCGTATTACTTCCCGTGCTGGAATCGAAATAGATAACAATGCTATTGCACATGTTGTTCATAAGAAGGTGTGTGGTGTTAAGCTTACTCTTTTTGCTTCAGCAATTTCCGCGACAGCTCCTATGGGACAGCTCCAACAAACTGGTTTCGCGTCCATGCAAGCTTATGCATCATCTTATATCCCCGAGGAACGCAATGTTAATTCTTGCCGGGACCCTCTCGGAGTCTAAATTTCCCGCTAGTCCAATCGCGGAGCGGCCCTCCAAGGCTGAGGCGCGACGGCAGCATCAGGATGACCCCCGAGAGATCCAGCTCAATACCTTACGAGGGCAACTGAAGCAAATTCGTGTCTCTCTTGCAGAGTTAACGAATAGCTGCACCCATCGTGTTGGCAACGGCATCGCCGCTTCATGCCCGCTCAGCTTTTCTGAAGCTCAGGAACTGTTGCGACAGCTTCATGCACAGGAGCAGCAGCTGCGACTGGATATTGCGGTGGCGCTGCAGCAGCTCAATCTACTGCGGCCAGATGGTGGCAGCCGGTTGCCGGAGGCGGAAGAACATTACCGGTGTGTTCATGTAGAAGGCCGGGGACAGCGGGGAATGCTTGCCGGCGAACTAGGTGACGGAAACGGGGCCCTGCTGACCCTCGCCAAGAGCGCCATAAGTTGTGTGTGCCGTATGTTGTGACGCGTCCATGTCATATCATGTCTTAATGCAGAGGCCATACACGAATTATGGCATCTGCTCCGGCCTATTCCTAACGGCCCCCCACCCTCCCTCTCGGTGTCGTAGTCAAGCGGGTCAAGTTGTCGTTGTCGTTGGATGACCAGCTTCCACAGCCTGGAAGTACGTATAATACATACATACCATAATTTCCTCCCACCCTACCCTCCCTGCCGTACAGGGCGGTCATCGCCTCGCTGGATTCGGAGCTGGCGCCCCCCCTCCGCAGCCCCCGGGAGAACCCCGTCCGACAGGGCCCCCTGGACCCGGACTCCCGACTTAGGAAGGAGGAGGAGAACAAGGACCCCGGGGCGGATATGGACCCCGAGGCGCGGCGGTTGCGGTTAATGCGGTTGATGTTGGTTGGCAATCTGGCCGCGCTGCTTCTGGAAGCCGACCGGCCGCACCACGCTCTGCTGGAGCTGGAGGGGGGACTGAGAGAGGTGGGTCGGTGGGTGGGTGGGATGAAGGGGGGAGGCAGGGCGGGGGGGTTGAAGGGGGAAGTTGTGTGCGAGGAGTCTGAGAGGAAGGGAGAAAGGCGGGGGATTGCATAGCTATTTCCCGCTGGTGCACATTACTTAACCCCACCCCCATCCCCACTCCGTATACTTTGAACGTGTTCCCTGCACTCCCCACTCGTCCCCGGCGCACCTTCCGTCGTACACATACACACACACGCTCGCGCGCGCTTGTTTCCCTCACCTTCCCCCTCCCTCACCTCCCTGATAACCCCACAGGCTGAAATCCTTCTTGGCGCTTCTGCCGGTGGCGCTGGGATAAGTGGTGCTGGTGGCGCTGCCCCTCCCTCTCCCTCTCCCTCGGGCACCAGCTGGTTGTCCTCGTCGGTGTGTGCTCTCCGGTTCAACCGGGGGAAGGCGCTGGCGGCGGTGGGTCGTACGGCAGAGTCCGAGTCGGCGTACGTGAATACGGCACTGGGGGCACTAGGGCTGGACCCGAACTGCTTCGCCAAGGTGGGACCGTGTTGGCGGTGGGGGGAGTGCGGGGCCGGGTGGGGGCCGTGTGTGTATGTGTGTTGCTGTTCAGGCGGGTAAGGAGGGGGGGTAGAGCGTGTATCGGGGTATCGGAGCCCAGGGAGCAATACCAGGGGCTGTCAGGTCGCGGCTTCAACACGAAGCTTTAATTCCAGGGGGCCCTTTTGGGCCGTCCAAGTAGATGGACGCGGACGAGCGTGTGCTGGCGCTGGTGAGGGGAGGAATATGTGGGTTTTTGTGGGGGGCCAATAGGGGGGTTGGTGGAGGTGAATTGGGTTTTACGGGGGTAAGGGTCAGTTGTCGTACAGTGTCGTACTATCGCCCCCCGCTGCTCTCCTCCTACTGTGGCGGGGCGGCTGGTGTGTAATGCCCCAGCAGACATCCCGGCACCGCCACTAGCTGCCACCCGCTACCCGCACGCCGCCTAGCCGCTGTCCCGCGAAACCCCTCCACGCGGCCGATAACCACCCCCGACCCCACCTCGCCCCACCTCCCACCAGGCCTGCGCGGCCATGAACCGCTTGCCGGATGACCTGCTGACATTCGTACAATCTGCCGTACAGCTGGCGGAGGAGAGCGGCCTACTGCAGCGCCTTCTCACGGGTGCTCCGAGACCACCCACCACCACCACCACCACCACCACCGCTGTTGGCGGTGGTGGTATTAATCACGGTGATGGTGGTGTGGTGGGGGGATTGGCGGCAGGCAGTAGCGATCCTTTCGGCGATCAGTCCAGGGGCGGCTGGCTGGCGGATATCGGGGTTTCGGAGCTGGGCTGGCTGTACTTCGCGCTGGCTAAGGCTCTTGAGACCCGGGATGTGGAGGCGGAGGAGGTGTGGCGCGTTTTGGACCAGGTGAGGTGAGGGGAGGGGAGGGGAGGTGGGGCTACCCTCCTTAAACAGGCCGCCAAAGTCAGTATCCAACCGCCCCTCCAAGCCCCTCCCCTTCGTTGGCGTCGGTAGGCTAGCCGGATTAGATTAGTCGGGTCGGTCGGGTCGGTCGCGCGTTTTAGTTTTTTTGGGGGGTTGGGAGGAGCACTTGCATACCGACAGCCTTTCAGTATGAGCAAATCAGCCTTTTCTCCTGGCCAGCAACTTTACGCCACCTTTTACGACAGCACTATTTTACTCGCCGCCTTCACTACTACTTTTTTACACCTACTTCTTTACGGATTGGCTATACAATTCAGCTTTTTAATTCTGGCGGCTTAGGTAGGTAGGATTTCCGACATCAACGTCACTTCGTCATCCCGAGGTCTCAGTCGTCACAGTCGCCACGGACGCCTTTCGGTCAGTTTTTACGTTTGCTACTCTCTTGCCCTGGCAGCAGCTTCAATCGCGTGTGGTTCGTCTTTCCCTCCCCTTCGTACGACACTTCCTATATCACCCTGCGCCGCCTTTCTTATAAACTCCTTTTTAAATCTCTTTTCTCTCTTCCCCCTTTCCCTTGGCTTCTTCTTTTTCCTCAGCCAGCCAGTTAAAACTTCTTGCAGCAGCAGCACTCGCATGTATTCTTGTTTTTTTATCGCACCCTGCTCACAACCTTGTGACCCCTCTGCCGCGCATGTGCCTTTGCCCGCTACTTCCGCTGCCTGGCCGCCAGGTGAGTCCGAAGGAGGTTCGAGCTTTATTGCGTTGCGTCGGTCGGCTAGCCGGACTAGGATAGTCGGGTCGGTCGGGTCGGTCGCGCGTTTTTTTGGGGGTTTGGGAGGAGCACTTGCATATCACCAGCAGCTTATTACCAGCTAATCAGCCAGTTCTCCGCCAAACCTCGTCAATGCCGCCGCCAGGCCGGCAGCAAACTTTATTCCAGCTTCACGTCAGCAGTTTTTTACTACTTTTCCGCCGCCTCTACACCTACCTTTACTTCTTTACGGCTTGGCATTACTGCTTTTCTTCTGCGCTTATTTTGGTCTTGGCGGCTAGGTAGGTAGTTTTCCGACATCTTCTTCACTACGTCATCCCGAGATCGCCGTCTTCACGGACGCCTTTTGGTCAGTTCTGCTTCTTGTACATTTCTTTCCTTGGCAGCAGCTTCACTCGTTCACGTGGTTCGTCTTTCCCTCCCCTCCCCCGGTGGAGGTGTCCCCCGTCCCCGACCCCGCCCCCGGCAGTTAGTTCCATGTTTCCCTGCCTAAGTCCCCCTCTTCCCCCCTCCCGCGTCCCCCCCCAGGCCAACTCCCTGATATCTTCCCAGCAGCCGTACCACCCCGACACGGACTGGCAGCAGCTGCTGACCCTCCGGGGGGTGTTCGGCGGGCGGCTGATGAGGCAGCTAGCGGCAGGGGGGGGGCGGGAGGGGGAGGGAGGGGAGGAGTCCCCGGTGTTTGTGGTGGGGTTGCCCAGGTCGGGGAGCACGCTGGTGGAAACGGTGAGGGGGGGGGAGGGGGGAAAAGGAGCCGGATGGGGTAGGTGGTGTGTCGTACCGACATTTGGCAGCAGTCCTGCTAGCACTTACTGGTCGAGATAATTGAGTGCTGCAAGTGTTGTTGTTGCCGGGTTTGATCACCCCGAATCCCCCCCCAATCCCCAGCATCAGGCGCCACGTGCGCATTTTTACGGTTCGTACGGGCCTAGTGTACGACATGGTAGGCGTTTTGATAGGCAGTTGGCGGTTTGGTGTTTGGACACCGTCACAGTCGTGTCTCTCGGATTGGTGTTTGGAGCGTATATCTGCTCCCCTCTCCGCCCCCTTTTTACCTACTTCCATCCCACTTCCCACCACCACCACACACACACACACACACACACGCGCGCGCACAGCAGTTGTTGTCTTGTCTTTTGGGTGTGATCATGGCCCCGCCATTTCCCCCCATTCCCCCGTCTGTGATTCGTCTTCCCCCCCGCCCCTCCCGAACGCACATACACACACATACACACATACACACGTTCAGATGCTGTCCCGGTACCCCGGAGTATGGGCCGCGGGGGAGGACACCGCCCTGGCGCCACTCACCCCCCGGCTGAATGAGCTGCTCATGAAGCAGGTGGGGATAGCGGTGTGTGTGTGTGTGTGTGCAGTGGGTGGCTGTTGGGGGGTGCGTGGCCGCCTCCGGCTGACCTTCGGCCGAACTACCGCCTGCAGCATGGTGTGCGTCCCCTGTGATTTACCGAGGGATCCGCTATAAGGGAAATGGCGATGATGGTGTGAGTATGTGTGTGTGAAGGGGGGGGGGAGAGGGAGAGAGAGAGTAGCAGCACATGTTTGAAGGTAGCGGCACAGCTACCGACCGCAGCCCTCCCACCCCACTCCCACCCCACTCCCCACTCGGGGCTGTTCTTCAGGGGTTATCCAACCGGGCGGCTCTGGCGGACTTCGGACGACGGTAAGCGGCGGCGTGTGTGTTTCGGAGGTGAGAAAGAGCGGGGATGCGTTGAGGACGAGGGGGAGGAGGAGGAGGAGGAGGGGGAGGGGGGCTGTGTGTTTGAACGGGGTTCGCTGCGTGGCTAGGAGCTGGGGACGACAATCGAACACGGGCTTGGAGCGGTCAGGCAAGTTATTATATTATTAAAATTATTACTATTATTATTATATGTGTTTTTATGTCATCTGTGTGTGCGGGGGGTGCTTAAACAGAGTTTGTGTATCTCTGTACGTGTGTGTATACCTGTTACATATCGATCCGGGCCTGATGCTGGCCAGGGGCACCTAACCGTACTGTACCCCAACGGGAACGATCGCCGAAGCACTCTCCATCATTGGAGGGGCGTTATATTACATCGATCAGAGTCCTAGCCGTTCTCCCTTATCAACGCAAGGCGCCGTCACCTGTTCGATTCCTCCAGCCAGCTACACACACACAACAGCTCAGATGCGCAGCAACCTCCCTTTTCCACCGAAAGCGCATGCTCTACAGCTGCGCGATGACCTACCAATGGCTGCACTCACTCCACCCACACCGGTGCGCCAATAGCGCCACCCTACCCTCGCGAATCCTGCCGCCGCCGCCGCCCGGGGTTTAGCCATCCAACCACCAGCACCCGGTGTATACAGCCCCTGGTCCAGGGCCGTTGCAGGATTATTACTCCGCCACTGCCCCGCGGCTAAGTGTGCAGATCTAGTCCGCCGCTGCAGGCTTAGCCGTGTCTGTGTACTCATCCTCCCGCACAACACCCTGGAATACCCACCACCCCTCGAACGACCTAAAGAGCTGTTATGGAGCTGCCATTTCCTGCCTTGAGGCCATACCCAATACACACATACAGCAAAACGAGAACCGTGCTCCGCGTAAATGGTGTCCTTGGTGCTGCTGGCGGTGTTGCTTTTGTTGATGTTACTGGTGGTGTTGCTTTTGTTGATGTTACTGGTGGTGGTGATTTGTCCACCAGGTACGTGGAGGAGATGCGGCGGCGGGCAGTGGCGTCTGGTTGGGACCCCAACAACCCCCCTGTACGGATAGTGGACAAGATGCTCCGGAACCTCTGGCTGGTGCGTGTACGGCAGGGGGATGGCAATGTTGCCCCCTGCGCGCCTGATTCATTCGTTCCGTGGGTCCCAATCGGGCGTCACCATGTCTGTGTGTGTGTATGTGTTTGTGCGTGTGTGTGTGTTTGTAAGTGTATGCGTGAGTATTGTTACATTCGCTGTTTGTACAATCAATGAGCGGTCCCGCCTCAACGAACCGAGAGAGGTTCCCAGGGCGGAAACGGCTACAAAAGCAGCCAGTGCAGCAGCGGCAGAGGTATGACAGACGTGTGTGTGCATGTGTGTGTATTTGTCTGTCTGTCTGTGTGTCTGTGTGCTTTCCTCGAAAAGGAAGGAGGGGAGAAGGGCGCATGGGAGGGGGGAGGAGTGGACGTGCGCCACCGTGGTCGCATGGCCCCGGACACAGAACAGCGGGAGCCAGGGGCAACCGGGCATTAATTCCCATTTACGGTTTTACAAGGATTTGTCTCAAATAAAAACGGCACATACTGCGGATGGATCCTTCGAAACCTTTCTTCGAAACCCCACACACCTTTTCCCATCCCACGCCGCCGCCCGCCTCCCCACTCCTCTGTTCACCAACTACCACCAACTACCACCAACAACCACCAACTACCACCAACAACCACCACCATCACTCCGCTGTAGATCGGATATATCGAGATGCTGCTGCCACGCGCCTGCATCGTACACGTCGTACGGCATCCTCTTGACGTGGCACTGTCGTGCTACAGCCAGCCTTTCGGCTACAGCGGCGTCCCCTGGTCCTGGCGTCTGGACCACATTGGGGAGCAGATCCGCATGGCCGCGGCCCTGGGGGCGCACTGGGGGCAGGTGCTGCCGCCGGGCCGACTGCTCACCCTGCATTACGAGCAGGTCTGGGGCTGTGTGTGTGTGTGTTGGGGGGGGGCTGGGGGGGGAAGAGATGGGGACCCAAAACTGTGGGGGGGTATGATGGAGGAGGGGTTGTTGGCCGCCGGTGTGTGTGTTTGTGTGTGTATGAACCGAGCCGCGCCGCGGGTAGGGAGGGGGGATTACGACGAAGCACAGATGATTGGGGAGAAGGAAAAACATAGACGGATACATACATACATACATACATACATACATACATACATACATACATACATACATACATACATACATACATACATGCATGCACACGCGCGCAGGTGGTTGCCTTTCCGGAGGTCTCTGCTCGCCAGCTGCTGTCCCACTGCGGTCTGACCTGGGATGTCCGGGTGCTGGACTTCCACACCGCCAACAGGACGGTGGCCACTGCCAGTGTGGCGCAGGTGGGGATGGGGGGGAGAGGGGAGGGGCGGCAGAGCTCGGGAAGGGGAACCTGGGGTTGAGGGTGTGTGTCTAGCAACCAAGTACTCTTCCACGGATCACCCTCGAATACGACAGGTACGGAAGCCGCTGTACAACACGTCCGTGGGCCGGTGGCGCAAGTACGAAAAGCAGCTGGCAGCGCTCGCGGCCCAGATCCGACCGGAGATCTTGTCGTACGAGGCGGATCTTGATGCGGCGCTCCGTATTGCAGAGGCGGAGAATCGCCAACTGCAACTGCAACAGCAACAACAGCAACACCCCCCGGGTCAACAACCCCCGCCGGTATCGCGGGGAGCTCGGCAGCTCCCGGTCTCTGCGGAGGACGTCAATGCGGCGGAGGGGGGGTCCAGGGTGGTTTCGGAGCCCGGGGAGGAGGAGGAGGAGGTGGTGGTGGAGGAGCTGCAGTCCAGGTGGGACGCCCACCAGGAGTTGTGAAGGGCGAGAGAGCTCTCGCGGCACAGTGCGCGTGAAGAGGTGCACACCCCTACAGGGGAGAGGGGAGAGGGGGGAGGGGGAAGGGTTTCTTTAGGTATTGAATCTTACACTCCTCTAGCAGTAGCAGTAGCAGCAGCAGTAACAGTAACAGTGACAGTAACAGCTGCATCCTCTCACGCGCCTGTGTAAGCCGCACGTGCCGCTCTCATTTCTTTGTTCCTCGTGATATGTGAAAAAATTGCGAATGGCTGGATTTCGTCAGTGTCGTAAATTGCCGTACAGAATCACTTTTGGAGGTCAAGGCAACAGGGCAGAACAAGATGGTGGTGTGTCGGGGAAACCACTTCCAAAAGGGGGGGAAATGCAAATCACGTACTTTCATCGTGTTGAAAACGTGTAAAATGTGAGGTGAGTGAGTGGTCAGTCCTGGGAGGAGTGCCGGAGATAGCCAGGTAAGCACCCACATGA